AATTTCCGGCGATGTTGTGAGTCAACTAATCGTCGTCGGGTTACCAAATTTACGAAAAAAAAAAAGTAGTGTCATCACGTCAGGGGAAGTGCCCAAGGTGGTCGTCACACCTTGAACTGAACCCAATTGCCAGGTGGTTGGCGCATCAACCCTCGCACATATACGACCAAATGACAGGCGGCTGAACTGCATCGAGCATGGACCATGCCTGTAGACTCCGTCGTTATTGGTCTCTTGCTCAATTTTTACCAGCGCGGTTAGCCACCCCGTGGTCTTCTGTTACATTCTCCCCACAGTTATCAAAACTGGGAGATGTGGCTTGTTGTCGAAAACCTCCATGGTTTCCTGAACGATCAGAATTGAAGATGAACAGTTTCATAACTCCTTTTCGAAAAAATAAATAATCTATATAAAGACAGGTTTTTGGTCGAAATTCTTACGGATTCGTCCAAATCTTGCCCATAAGAACGCGGATTCGACGAAATGCGCTGGATTTTTTTTTGTGTCAGCTCCACACAGCAATTAGCCTTTGCGCGCATGCTTCTTTCATCACATTCAAAATTCGGGATTCGTCTGACACGGCAATTAAAAATCTAGAGGTGATGTGCGTTCTGCGATTTGCCAGACTAGACTATGAACGTAAAAGATTGGATGTATAACGATTCGGCACAGGCCAGATACTTACAGATCAGAGGTGACGATCGATAGGTGTCTAATGCTGTGCAATCATTATGACCGTTACGGTAGAACGACCAACTATGACAGCCCGCAGAGAGAATAATAGTTTTGCAAAATCGCCACAAGCAACCCCGGTTGGTTATACAATCAATACGCATCTACTCGGCGAAGTGCTCAGACGTCAAAGTTCTTTGCTCAAAATGGCGCGTATTCTTTGCCAATTCATCATCTCACCTTTGCTTATCAAATTAACAGCCGTCTGGTACTGGCTACAGTATCAATTCATTGACTACCGCAAATTTATCATCCTTTTTGTCGTTCACATGCGACTTCTTCCCTATTCTTTTTTCGTTCTACACATCATACATTGAAGTAAATGTAAGCGATGTGATCCACAGTCAATACGTTTTGATTAAGCAAGTGTTTTTAAGCCTTACGAAATTTCTGTTCGGTTCACACAACGTTTTCATTTGCTGTAACAACAGGAGTAAAAAGATGGTATAAGTACGAAGCATGAGTAGTAGTATAGTAGTAAGGCCTGCCGGTAATAAGTATAGCATAATAGTGTAAGTAAATATAATACAAATCTCGAGGAGTGGAAAAATATGTATTTGCAGTCAGGACAGGGTTTTTGACGTTCACTGCTGTGATAGTCAACAAATTTTGCTTTTTCGTTGCCATTATTCATCGTGTTTGGTTTGAACTCTTCTGAGATATGGATGAAGAACTTCTTTGCTTTGATCATTTTTTTTTTTTATTGACCGCTAATCCATGGACATTAGGCTTCCGAATTCTTCTTCTAAGTGTCTCCATTCAAACTCCGGCAGTGAACTTTGAATTTTCGCAGTGTTTTGAAAATTTATTCGAGTTTAAGGCTTAGGACAGCGCAATCCCTACTTATCTAATTCCACGTTTAACCATTCAAGCCGATCAAGACGCAAAAGATCATGTGTGCTTCTTCTTCGGCTCCTTGACATTGAATTTGCATAGGTTTGTGGGATTGTGATGCCAATGATGGCAAGACCATGGTATAAAAATGATAGATATCCCGAATCTTGTTATTATCGTAGCGCCTTGCTTCCATTCCCTGGAAAAAACTCTCGCGGTGAGGTTACTCTATTTTTCGTTTCGGTATTCGAAGAGAGCTCATCATCACGCTAGAACAAAGTTGAAAGCGAAAGGTGTAAATTTTTACACGACATAAGCAGACAATGGCAACTGTTACAGCACTCGCATTCTTCAAGGCTAATTGGGACTTGAGGGACTTGCAGCAATTTTCTCACGTCACGTAAATAAATGATTCGGAGGTATTTAGTTCGCGTTTTTTTTTCGACCTTCTCCATTCCAGATGCTGTAGAAAGTTTGCCAATCACACAGAGAAAGTTCAACGAGTTCTTACACGGCTTTGCTCTTATGTGCGCAAGGGCTGAAAAACCACTGCAATTAGGTTCTGAACTCAAAAGGGCATTTCTTTGCTTTCACTCGTCACTTTCACTTTGTTTTCATTGAAATGTCCATCCATTAATTCGACCAATTAATCCTATCATTGTCAGGTTAGCCTCCGCAAACGAAAACCATTCAGGACCGTTAGTACTTCGAAATTTCGAAACTTCGTTTATGACTAACTTGTGTAATGTGGATGATAGTTGTCGACGCTTCGTATTCATCCATCCTATTGTTAGAACGAGGACTTGCTAGTGTTTTGATAGCTACTCCTTTTTGTCGATGTAAATATGGCGACAGTTAGTGAAGCCCTAAAGGACCAATCTTCTGAAATTCTCTTTTTCCATGTCACTGATATGATTCCTTTTATCTGATCGGTGTATACTTTCTCGAACAGCTTCTGATGCATAGCATTTGCTTGCAGGTGATGGAAAGCGCGGGATAGAATGACATTCAAATGGCCATGGCAATATGATTTCCCGCCTTTTTTCACGTAAGTTTTTCTTTTTAAGTGATTGAGGAGGGGTGACGCTTGGTTTGTTTTGTGCTTGTTTAGTAATTAGGCCGCGGCCATGCCTCCCTTGTTTTTTTTTCCTTTTAAAAGGCACGATTTACCCTATCTACTTTCACACACAAGCCCGGCTTCAACTTATCCTAGAAGCTGCCTTTGAAGCAACAACCCGAGATCAAATTGATGGAGTGACAGCAGTCGAGGGGATGAATTTGTGACCAAAATAAAAGAAGCAAAAGCAATACGACTGAAAGCCCTGAAACAAAAAAAAAAAAAAAAAAAAAAAATAAAAAAAAAAAAAATGGACCTCCCTCTCTTCTCCCTTAGGGAAGGGAAGGGGCATCGGACGAGGTGTCTGAATCTATTAACCCTTTGACGACCGTGTGGCCCGCCGGTGGGCCACACTTTCGCTCGGTGGCGACACGTTTTTAGGGTTTATTTTGGCATTTTTTATGTTTCAAAACTACACAAATACATTATCGAATTCGCGGAATAATGCGCTAATTACTAATAGTGAAATTGTTGGAGAGTTAATGATTATTGATGAAAAAATTTAGAAAGAAGTGAAGTGACGCATTCATAACGGCGGTCGTCAAAGGGTTAATCCGTGGCTCCACTAACTTGCGCGTATTTGAATTAGCCGCTACGTCGTAATTCACGTTGCATGTCATGGGGTGTGCGCGATGTATCTCGTCCATTAGCTCACATTAGCCGTCACTAGCTCACTTTGAAAGAGCCTAGGGTTGGCCATCGCATGTTCGAGCCGCAACGACGGCAACTGTGATGCTAGCGGGCTACTCTGTTCTTGCTACAGAATAGATTGTCCGGCACTACCTCAGGCCGATATCAGATTAATTCGGCTAGCGTTGCGGCCGCGTCATGGCATGAACCACTCAGTCGCTGTAGCCGCGCACGCTAGCGAATCGCTGCGAATCGCTAGTAGAGAATCGCCGCATTCCGCAAAGTCTTGACATCGGCTCAGACGGGTCCAATGATTTTTTTGCGAATATTAGGTTTAGACACGCTTTGTGCGTCCCTTGCGTTTCTAGGGGCGGTCATACATTGTGACTGGGTTGCGTTTTGCTTTTAGTTTAAGTGTGGAGTAGGTGCATATCGACAATGCAATCCTGTGATCGTGCGATCGCTTTCTTTGATGAGTCCTGTTAGTGCTGAATTACCGGGAAACGCCAGGGTGGAGTTCATGTCATACATTTTGACACATAATCAGGCTACGATAACCTTGTACAATCATAGTAATGGTATCAGTATTTTATGGGCTGCAGTTTTTGTTTTCTAGATCCATTTACTTACGTAGTTCGGTATCACGATTCCAGGATGATCAGTCATCTTTGTCAGAGTACTACCTTTCAATTAGTTAAAGGCAAAGTTTGGGCTCAGACCCACCTAAGAAGCCCTTACCATGGCTAGAAGTGCTGGGCACGCAAGTGCAAAGTAGCGCCACCTTTCTACATCGAACGCGTCACTAGGACCCTAGGCGCCATGGACTTCTAACAGACTCCACCAAACTTAACATGGTCCGCCCACCGTTCGATATCTTGTCTGCGTCGCTGCGTTGATCTGCTATGCTCTCTCTTCTCGGAATTCTCTACCACCCTCTGCGCTCACATTATCTCTCATCTCCCTCCCTCTTTTGAACTTCTCCACAGCATTGAGCAAAATGCTCGTATTTCCCTGTGCATGTCAGGATTTTTTCCTTTTTTCTCCATTGGCGGTCCACCTCTCATCCCTACTTTCACATTTGAGTGGAATCAACCCATCAATGTAATCCTGATTCTTGCCTTTAACTTTTCGAAGTTCAAGCTTTTTATGTCCTCATGAATTAACATGGTGCTGACCAGTTTCTTACAAGCATTGGCCTTGGATTGGGCTTTAAAAGTAAGAAGGGGTACTCATACTGTACGTTCAACCTCCGTCTTGATGCCAGTGTGAAATTGAGTTCAACCAAGTTGCATGTCGCCTCTTAAACATTTTTGCGGATTTGCAACTATAAAACATTCCATTTTTCGATTATTGTATTGGTACATTTTATTATGCTCCATTTAGCCTTCAACCAACGTTAGCTACAAGAGAGAAGCAGTTAGAAACGTGGGCTAGTTTGGTGATAGACTACGCACAACACAACAAGATCTTTACGCTCGACGTCGCAGAAGTGGCAAATAGTGAACTGTTCTACAATCAGAAGCTGAATAGTAAGTTGTTTTCGTGTGTCTGGAAGTCATGTGATCACTGCCGTGATTACATAGGGTCGAGAGCCCCTATTTAGTCACTTGCGTGCCTCTAGGTTGTTGCATAGCGACTAGAGTATTGCCTGAATACGACCTCTCCCTAAATCCGAGTCCATCTTTGCGGTCTTCTGTTTTTTTTTTCAGTTTTCCTTTTGATTCCTTTGTCCTCCTTCTTCTCCCGGCCTTGTTTCGTTAATTTACTACGCCCCTTTTGGGCTGGCATGTTGTTTAGACGTATGAGAATAAATAAAAAATATAAAACTCATAGATATTGGAAGTCCCTGCAACACGCTCAGCGACCTGTTTCAAATCACTCTTCTAATCCCTGCAATACGACTCTTAGGCAAGTCGGTCTCAAGGAGTGAGGGAACTCTACTATGGAATACTGTTTGGCACGATGAAGGCTTGACAAGCTAACCTCGGTTAACGGTACAATAGTTTCAAATCAGAACTAGGCAGTATATGAAATGATCTAGGCAGAAAGTCGAGAGTACACAATAGTTAAGTTTTTCCCTACAAAGCCGGAGCCTTTCTGGTTATTAGGCCAAAGGTAACCTTTTTGAATCAAACACCAAGGGCCGCGTGGCCAAGGTGATATAAGTGCTTAATTGAAGGAACTGAAGAAACTGCATCGTAGTGTGGATAGGCGATTACTTTGCAGTGAGCTCGTAAATAGCAGGGCAGCTTCTCGTAACCTGTAAGGAATCCAGTTAGGGCCTACATCGTAGTTATCATGACAAGATTATTTCAGTTGCATCTGAAATACCTCTATGTATATTGTTGATAAAGTATTTCGCCTTAGAGGTGCACTCTGATGAGAGTCTACTCGGTGGAATTGTGTTATTTTATATTGTTATCCGTATGAAAAGTAAATTGCCTCAATACATGCGATGTGTTTTTGGTTCAAATGTTTATGTTAAAGGAAATATTCCGCTGCGATCACTCTGCAGAAATGAGTGGAAAATACGGATTTTTTCCCTCGTTTTCCATAACTTGATCTTTATGTGCTTTAGGGCGCCTTTCGCCGGAAGGAATTCGTGCTGTGTTCGACTACCTCGAGCAGAAAAGTGTGTTCTACTTCGTACCTTTTCGTTTTTCTAGCATTTACGAAGTTGAAATGTTAGAGCTTTCGTGTTGATTCATCATGCTGTTAGAACACATCGACGTGGATTTGATATTGTAAAACCCGAAAAACCCGTCGGTGTCATTATCTTATTGGCGGCGTCCAGACGAGTGCGGCAGCCTTTTTTTGGCGGGGGATTCTAACTCTGTGGGAAGTTCTCGACGGGTTGGTTGAACACCACCGTGACACTTTACGAAATTTGCCACACGGAGCGATACAGTATCAAGAATGGAGTCAGTTTATAGTTCACATTCCATCGGCGCTTCTTCTTACATTAGAACCTAAGGGTAAATTAGCAAATCTAGGGATTGCAAAATGGTGTTTGCATTTTTCTTTGTTTTGCCTCTCGATATAAATTAGATTGGAAATGTGAATGCTTTCAAAAGAATGTTTGCCGCTGCTCAGCGTTTCTCATTCAACAATTTGCGTGATTGCTCATAGTTTTGCAAAAGTTGATCGTGATTATTTCAACGCTGTTCAACTGTAGTTCGAGTTCGACCATTCTTTTCAAAATTTTCACAGAGTTTTTGGCATTATGTACTCATTGATACGCTTTCTTCAAGTTCGGCGTCGATTTTGGCCAAAAATTCCGTATAATGTGCAGGTTGCGATCAGCATTAAGAATGTTGGTACCACACTGTGCGCACTTTCGTACTAAGTGTGCGCATTATCCGTGCTTAATGTGACAACCCTAGGAGCAGATTTCATTTTAACTCTAATGACTATGGCTAGATGATGTGATACTACCTCTGACTGTGTTAACGTTGAGAGAAGAATCGTCATTCAGAAATTCTGGAAGAGCCACCAAGTTTCAAAAAACCGCTGAATCATATTGCTGTTGACCCTAATGATGTATTGAGATACCTGTTGCGTTTGAAATCCACAAATTCTGCTACTTTTGATGGAATTCCACAAATACTGTTCAAACGATGTGCCAAAAGTCTCTATAAGCCCCTAACCATGATATTCAATATTTCCTTGCTCGTAGAATCGGTTCCATCTATGTGGAAGGAAGCACTGGTTACCGCTATTCCCAAAATTTCCAACACTGCTGTCGCATCTTTATTATGGCAGTTGTAATTTTCGACCATCAGTCATAACCCCATAGCACGTTGAAGATTGGAAATTGATTCACAAGGACAGACTTGTCAGGTGGGGCTTAATAGGCATCACTTCATCCCAAGTGAGCAACATGGTTTCTCAAAGGGTGCTTCTACAACTACTCAACTGTTGGATAGTACATTCGATTGGTTTACGGCTCTGAATAACAAGTATTCTGTTGATATAGTTTACTTCGATCTCTCTAAAGCATTCGATAGAGTGAAGCATTCGAAGCTCATCCTAAAGTTGAAAATGATTGGTCTTGGCGAAAGTCTTCTGAATTGGTTTTCATCCTACCTGTCTCGATATCGCCATAAGTTGTGGTCAAAGCTTGGACATTCCGTTCTGGCGATCGTTGCACCTGTTTGGTCCTAAGTGGTGTCCTCAGCTAATCGTGGTGGATGGTATGGTCTCATCTCTTCTGGTTAGTACTTTTCGAGCTTTGTTGTGGTTATTTGCTATAGATCCTGCCCGGTTATATTAATAAACCGCAGCCCGGTCGATTAGAGTGCTAAATCTTTGGATGCGGATTTATATAAAAGTTTTTCGGTGGTTGGTTGATGTGGCCATGGTGTACATCAAATATAATCCTGGGTTTGAATATGTTTGATAGGCCCTTTTTCTGGAATCGATGATATTTATAAACAATGATGAACGTGGGTTCGTGGTGAATTGGGAGTTACGCCGTCTACTGTATCAAAATTCCTTTTGGTGATGACATTGTAGAAAATGGTGGTGGGTTGTTGATCACGTTTTGGGGGGTTGAGCTGACCAATACCAAATGGACACTGTTCTGTCAGACGCCGGACCGTCTCTGTTATAAGAGTGGTAGGATTGGAGACCTTGCAGTATTGATCAGGCATTTGTGACCCGTCGCGTGAATCGCGCAAATCGCAAAAATCAGTGAAACCCGCGACGGATCGCGGACTCTGACACCAGCCTTACAATTGACGGCGCAGGCAATTTGGTGCAGGGCAGCCAAGGCATTTAAAATTCCCACGGACATTTTCTGTCATGAATGTGAAGAAGAGGTAATACTCACTCAGTAGCCTGTTCGCGCTATTCAATTGGCTAATCCATTTCGGGCATTCCTCCCCATGCGAAAATTGGGAATACACCCTTTTTTGCTCCGATGAATAAAGGGGATGGGGCGGATAGAGCGGCATTGATCAATCCCTTGCATCTGTGTCGCACATTCAGCTCATTCAGAATCGTAAAAGCTTTTTCAATGATATATCTACTCCATACAATAGTTTTACAAGAGTGTATTCAACTTTTATCGTTTTACACAGCTCAGCAGTCTGGGCAAAATTATGTGAATACATTGCATGTGAGGATACCAGCTGTACCTCTTTTCAATGCCTCTCTTCTGCTCATATTGAAAAGGAAATTGGGCGGTGGTTCCTTCGTTCATTATATTCTTTCATGCTTTGCTGTGGACTGGAATAGTGATTTGTTTATTGCACATTTCCATCTTATTTCCATTGATTGCGGAGCTCATTGGCCCATTACGCTAACATCTGCGCCATGCATCCTTACCCGACGATGAAATTCGCTTGCCTCGTGAATTTCCGGCGATGTTGTGAGTCAACTAATCGTCGGGTTACCAAATTTACGAAAAAAGTAGTGTCATCACGTCAGGGGAAGTGCCCAAGGTGGTCGTCACACCTTGAACTGAACCCAATTGCCAGGTGGTTGGCGCATCAACCCTCGCACATATACGACCAAATGACAGGCGGCTGAACTTCATCGAGCATGGACCATGCCTGTAGACTCGGTCCTGGTTGGTCTCTTGCTCAATTTTTACCAGCGCGGTTAGCCACCCCGTGGTCTTCTGTTACATTCTCCCCACAGTTATCAAAACTGGGAGATGTGCTTGTTGTCGAGAACCTCCATGGTTTCCTGAACCATCAGAATGAGATGAACCAGTTTCATAACTCCCTTTTCGAAAAATGAAATGAAATATCTATATAGAACAGTGTTTTTGGTCGAATTTCTTAGGATTTCGGGGTCTCATCCAGTAAGGGGGGGGGGCATTGTGATGCAACGTCAAGTGGCTGGCCCTCACGGCCCCACCCCCTAAGGTTGTGGGGTGGTTGGGTTGTGGGTCTGGACTGCCTTCACTCCCCCTGGCTTACGGGGTCCCGTACTTCGAGAAACCTGTGCGCCAGGGGGAGTGTAGGCAGTCTAGGGGGTGGGGGGTGAGGGCAGCCACTTGATGCCCCCCCCCTTACTGGATGAGACCCGCGGATTTCTTCTAAATCTTGCATAAAGAACGCGGATTCGACGAAATGCGCTGGATTTTTTGTGTTAGCTCCACACAGCAATTAGCCTTTGCGCGCATGCTCTTCATCACATACAAAAATTCGGATTTGCGTTCTGACACGTGGTTTGAGCAAATTAAAAATCTCTCACAGAGGTGATGTGTGCTTCTGGATTGTGCCAGACCGTCAGACTAATGAATAAAAGATTGATTGTAACGAATGCGCCACAGGCCAGATACTTACAGATCAGAGGTGACGATCGATAGGTATCTAATGCTGTGCGATCATTACGACCGTTACGGTCGAACGACCAACTATGACAGCCCGCAGAGAGAATGACAGTTTTGCAAAATCGCCACAAGCAACCCTGGTTGGTTATACAATCAATACGCATCTACTCGGCGAAGTGCTCAGACGTCAAAGTTCTTTGCTCGAAATGGCGCGTATGCTTTGCCAATTCATCATCTCACCTTTGCTTATCAAATTAACAGCCGTCTGGTACTGGCTACCGTATCAATTCATTGACTACCGCAAATTTATCATCCTTTTTGTCGTTCACATGCGACTTCTTTCTTCCGCTATTCTTTTTTTTCTTACACTATCATGACCAACATTGAAGTAAATGTAAGCGATGTGATCTACATCAATTACGTGTTGATTAAGCAAGTGTTTTTAAGCCTTACGAAATTTCTGTTCGGTTCACACAACGTTTTCATTTGCTGTAACAAACATGTAATTAAAAAGATTGGTATAAGTAGGAAGCATGAGTAGTAGTATAGTAGTAACAGCTTGTCCTGAATAATAAGTATCGCATATAGTCGTCAAGTAAATATATACAAATCTCGAGGAGTGAAAAATATGTATTTGCAGTCAGGACAGGGTTTTTGACGTTCACTGCTGTGATAGTCAACAAATTTTGCTTTTTCGTTGCCATTATTCATCGTTTGGTTTGAACTCTTCTGAGATATGGATGAAGAACTTCTTTGCTTTGATCATTTTTTTGTATTTACCGCTAAATCCATGGACATTAGGCTTCCGAATTCTTCTTCTAAGTGTCTCCATTCAAACTCCGGCAGTGAACTTTGAATTTTCGCAGTGTTTTGAAAATTTATTCGAGTTTAAGGCTTAGGACAGCGCAATCCCTACTTATCTAATTCACGTTTAACCATTCAAGCCGATCAAGGCGCAGAAGATCATGTGTGCTTCTTCTTCGGCTCCTTGACATTGAATTTGCATAGGTTTGTGGGATTGTGATGCCAATGATGGCAAGACCATGGTATAAAAATGATAGATATCCCGAATCTTGTTATTATCGTAGCGCGTTGCTTCCATTCCCTTGAAAAAACTATCGCGGTCAAGTTACTCTCACAGCCTTTTCGTTTCGGTATTCGAAGAGAGCTCATCATCACGCTAGAACAAAGTTGAAAGCGAAAGTGTAAATTTTACGGCATAAGCAGACAATGGCAACTGTTACAGCACTCGCATTCTTCAAGGCTAATTGGGACTTGAGGGACTTGCAGCAATTTTCTCACGTCACGTAAATAAATGATTCGGAGGTATTTAGTTCGCGTTTTTTCGACCTTCTCCATTCCAGATGCTGTAGAAAGTTTGCCAATCACACAGAGAAAGTTCAACGAGTTCTTACACGGCTTTGCTCTTATGTGCGCAAGGGCTGAAAAACCACTGCAATTAGGTTCTGAACTCAAAAGGGCATTTCTTTGCTTTCACTCGTCACTTTCACTTTGTTTTCATTGAAATGTCCATCCATTAATTCGACCAATTAATCCTCTCATTGTCAGGTTAGCCTCCGCAAACGAAAACCATTCAGGACCGTTAGTACTTCGAAATTTCGAAACTTCGTTTATGACTAACTTGTGTAATGTGGATGATAGTTGTCGACGCTTCGTATTCATCCATCCTATTGTTAGAACGAGGACTTGCTAGTGTTTTGATAGCTACTCCTTTTTGTCGATGTAAATATGGCGACAGTTAGTGAAGCCCTAAAAGGACCAATCTTCTGAAATTCTCTTTTTCCATGTCACTGATATGATTCCTTTTATCTGATCGGTGTATACTTTCTCGAACAGCTTCTGATGCATAGCATTTGCTTGCAGGTGATGGAAAGCGCGGGATAGAATGACATTCAAATGGCCATGGCAATATGATTTCCCGCCTTTTTTCACGTAAGTTTTTCTTTTTAAGTGATTGAGGAGGGGTGACGCTTGGTTTGTTTTGTGCTTGTTTAGTGGAATTCTCAGGCCGCGGCCATGCCTCCCCTTGTTTTTTTTTCCTTTTAAAAGGCACCATTTACCCTATCTACTTTCACACACCAAGCGCGGCTTCAACTTATCCTAGAAGCTGCCTTCAAAGCAACAACCTGAGATCAAATTGATGGAGTAACAGCAGTCGATGATGAATTTGTGGGACCAAAAATCGTATAACCAACAGCAAATCGTACGGTGAAACCCTGAACAAAGACTCCCTCTCTGTCCCCGCTTGAAAGAAGGCAGAAGCATCGACGAAGTTGTCTGGACTTGCCTGCTCCGTGGCTCCACTAACCTGCGCGTATTTGAATTAGCGCTACGTCGTAATTCACGTTGCATGTCATGGGGTGTGCGCGATGTATCTCGTCCATTAGCTCACATTAGCATCCACTAGCTCACTTTTGAAAGACTAGGGTTGGCCATCGCATGTTCGAGCCGCAACGACGGCAACTGTGATGCTAGCGGGCTACTCTGTTCTTGCTACAGAATAGATGTTTGACCACTACATTAATCGGGACGAGTCCTCAATGTATTTTTTTGCGAATATCAGGTTTTATACATGCTTTGTGCGCCCCTTGCGTTTCTAGGGGCGGTCATACATTGTGACTGGGTTGCGTTTTGCTTTTAGTTAAAGTGTGGAGTAGGTGCATATCGACAATGCAATCCTGTGATCGTGCGATCGCTTTCTTTGATGAGTCCTGTTAGTGCTGAATTACCGGAAACGCCAGTGGAGTTCATTGTCATACATTTTGACCACATTGATTCAGGCTACGATATACCTGTACAAGTCATAGTAATGGTATGCAAGAATTTATGGCTGCAGTTTTTGTTTTCTAAATCCATTACTTACGTAGTTCGGTATCACGATTCCAGGATGATCAGTCATCTTTGTCAGAGTACTACCTTTCAATTAGTTAAAGGCAAAGTTTGGGCTCAGATCCACCTAAGAAATGCTCCGTATTTCCTGTGCATGTCAGGATTTTCTTTCCTTTTTTCTCCATTGGCGGTCCACCTCTCATCCCTACTTTCACATTTGAGTGGAATCAACCCATCAATGTAATCCTGATTCATGCCTTTAATCTTTCTTCGAAAGTTCAACCTTTTTATGTCCTCATGAATTAACATGATGCTGACCAGTTTCTTACAAGCATTGGCCTTGGATTGGGCTTTAGCTAAAAGCAAGAAGGGGTACTCATACTGTACGTTCAACTTCCGTCTTGATGCCAGTGTGAAATTGAGTTCAACCAAGTCTGCATAGTCTCCTCTTAAACATTTTGCGGGTTTTGACAACTTAAACATTCCATTTTTTCGATTATTGTATTGGTACATTTATTATGCTCCATTTAGCCTTCAACCAACGTTAGCTACAAGAGAGAAGCAGTTAGAAACGTGGGCTAGTTTGGTGATAGACTACGCACAACACAACAAGATCTTTACGCTCGACGTCGCAGAAGTGGCAAATAGTGAACTGTTCTACAATCAGAAGCTGAATAGTAAGTTGTTTTCGTGTGTCTGGAAGTCATGTGATCACTGCCGTGATTACATAGGGTCGAGAGCCCCTATTTAGTCACTTGCGTGCCTCTAGGTTGTTGCATAGCGACTAGAGTATTGCCTGAATACGACCTCTCCCTAAATCCGAGTCCATCTTTGCGGTCTTCTGTTTTTTTTTCAGTTTTCCTTTTGATTCCTTTGCCCTCCTTCTTCCCGGCTTTGTTTCGTTAATTTACTACGCCCCTTTTGGGCTGGCATGTCGTTTAGACGTATGAAATAAATAAAAAATAAAACTCATAGATATTGGAAGTCCCTGCAACACGCTCAGCGACCTGTTTCAAATCACTCTTCTAATCCCTGCAATACGACTCTTAGGCAAGTCGGTCAAGGGAGTAGTGAGGGAACTCTACTATGGAATACTGTTTGACACCGATGAAGGCTTGACAAGCTAACCTCGGTTATCGGTACAATAGTTTCAAATCAGAGCTAGGCAGTGTATGAAATGATTTTATCCTCTAGGCAGAAAGTCGAGAGTACACAATAGTTAAGTTTTTCTTTACAAAGCCGGAGCCTTTCTGGTTTTTAGGCCAAATTTAACCCTTTGTTGAATGTACTCCAAGATGATAGAAGTGCTTAATTAAAGGGAACTGAAGAAACTGCATCGTAGTGTGGATAGGGATTACTTTGCAGCGGGCTCGTAAATAGCAGGGCAGCTTCTCGTAACCTGTAAGGAATCCAGTTAGGGCTACATCGTAGTTATCATGACAAGATTATTTCAGTTGCATCTGAAATACCTCTATGTATATCGTTGATAAAGTATTTCGCCCTGAGGGCCGTAAGGTATGCTTCCCCGAAGGGTTAGGGGACGAAAATCCCTTTAAATTTTCTCTGTCGTCCCAACTGGGATTGTCCTGATAAAGGGCCTACATTTAATATATGTGTGTTGCTTAAAGTAAACATGCATTGAAAATAAAGAAACAGTGTCGTTCAAAACAAAAAATTTAAAGGGACTTTCGTCCCCGCAAGCATTCGGGGAAGCATACCTTACGGCCCCTGGAGAGCCCTCTCGATAAGAGTCTACTCGGTGGAATTGGATATTGTTTTATATTGTTTCCCGTATGAGAGCGAATGCTCTCAAGTACATGACAATGACTCGTTTTTTTTGTCTCCTAATGTTCATGTTAAAAGATTTTTTTTTGGTTTAGCGACTCTGCAGAAATGAGTGGAAAATACGGATTTTTTCCCTCGTTTTCCATAACTTGATCTTTATGTGCTTTAGGGCGCCTTTCGCCGGAAGGAATTCGTGCTGTGTTCGACTACCTCGAGCAGAAAAGTGTGTTCTACTTCGTACCTTTTCGTTTTTCTAGCATTTACGAAGTTGAAATGTTAGAGCTTTCGTGTTGATTTAATCAAGTGTCAATGCTTTTAGAACACATCGAGTGGATTGATATTGTAAAAACCCGGTGTCATATTTATTGGCGGCGTCCAGACGAGTGGGCAGCCTTGATCTACTCGTGGGCAGTTTCGAACGGGTTGCTGAACACACCGTGCACACTTTACGAGATTGCACACGGAGACGATACAGTTCAAGAATGTGAGTAGTTTATAGTTCACATTCCATCGGCGCTTCTTCTTACATTAGAATCTAAGGGTAAATTAGCAAATCTGGCGATTTCAAAATGGTGTTTGCATTTTTCTTTGTTTTGCCTCTCGATATAAATTAGATTTGAAATGTGAATGCTTTCAAGAGAATGTTTGCCGCTGCTCAGCGTTTCTCATTCAACAATTTGCGTGATTGCTCATAGTTTTGCAAAATAGTTGATCGTGATTATTTCAACGCTGTTCAACTGTAGTTCGAGTTCGAGGCCATTCTTTTCAAAATTTTCACAGAGTTTTTAGCATTATGTACTCATTGATACGCTTTCTTCAAGTTCAGCGTCGATTTTGGCCAGAAAATCCGTGGGGTTAGTTCGCCCCTTGATCACGAATGTCACTTTAGTTTGAAACTCCAAACGCTTTTGCTGCAAGAACTTGTGGCTAACCGTTTTTCAAGATAAGAGTGAATATTGCAGTAATTTTGCATGAAAAGATTTCATTCGCAATCTGTAAGAATTGTCTTGATTGATTGTACCCTTATAGAGTGCAGGTTGGATCGGCATCAAGAATTTGCGTACCACGCACTTTCGTACTAAGTGTGCGTTCATTTTAACTCTACTGACTATGGCTAGATGATGTGGTACTACCTCTGACTGTGTTAACGTTGAGAAGAATCTGTCATAATCCCAGTCAGGGAACATTTGGAAGGAAGGTTCAAGATTTTGTTTCTGAATAGGTAAATGCCAGCGTTCGTATGTCCCATTACAAATGAAAATCTCCCAGGAAGAGATTTCCTGACTGACTGAACGAGCAAATCATTTCTAGAATGTTTACTACTTGGTTTTTGAAATACTGATCCTAGGGAACTATCGCTGAAATTCTTCTATGTTTAGTTTTCCCATCATTGCAACTTTTGTCTTTTTTAAGCCAATTAGATGGCAAATTGGCCTCAGGCTCAATCGATGAAACAATTACTGCTTTGTTCTTTGTTTGATGCGACTGTGCATTGATTAAAGCGCTTCGCTTCTCAGGATTTCCGTAACTAAATGAAAGCACGAAAATAAGGCCATACTTTCAAGGTTAATCCATAATTCCTACAATTCGACACAGATTATTCAGTAGACACGAAATCTGATAAGGTCACAAGCGCTTCGACACATTGACGACAAACGGCGCAGTTTTTGGCGCATGTGGCAGTGCAGTTGATGTTGTTATGCAGCACAAAAAATATGTTCAAGTTTTTAATTTATCACATCTTAAAGCAACAACCCCAGCAGAAATCGTGTCGAAGAATTCGTTCTGTGGATGGGATAAGGTAGCCCACTGGTATAACAGATGTGCCATTGTCGGGCTCGAAAGCTCGTGTTATGCTAGGAGTTATAACTACGAGGGATCATATGGAAAACTTGAATAATGGTTCTCGAGCGTTTTCTTCTGCACTTTTTCATTTAGGTCAGCTCGGCTTCCCACAACCCATCGACCTCTGGCGCTCAAAACTTAATCTGGGAGCTTGTTTAACCGCACTTTGCGTCGTTTCTGCCAAGCGACTTTAGTCTGGCGCCACGCTTTTTCCACGATCGCTGTGTGTGAACTTTGGAAGGAGGTAATCGAAGGCTGCTTTTAAGGGATAAAACGCATGTCATTTTTTCTGGCACTGGCGCCCAGAAAGTCAGTTCATACCGCCAAAGTTTTTTACTGTGAAGGTGTCGAATTTAGCTGTGGCGACCCTAGTGTATAATATTCAAATATTTCAAAAATTCTATCTTCTGCAAACAAACAATGCGTCCCTTCATCGAGCTCTTCAGGAAAATTGGGGTACCCCCCAGGAGGCCCGTCGCGCGGCAAGAAGGCAAAGTCAGCGGACGAGTCGCGCGCGTACTATAGGGATTTCGCGTCAAGTTAAATAGAGTGTCCCATTGCACGTCCTACATCGCACACCACGCGCTGCAACTCGTCCGCCGACTCTGCCTTCTTGCCGCGCGACAGGGCCTCCTGTAGGGTACAAGGAAATTGCGCGTGGTTCCATGCCGCAGACACGCGAAAAACGCCAACTTTTCGAGGAATTAGTGCTGTGTTTTAGCTTTCTACGGTCTGGAGAAGGACGTTTTGGTGAAAGCACTACGAAGCCTCGAACTGCAACGGCGCGCACAGTTGATGAATATTGGTACAGAGTCAGAGGGTGTCAAGTTCCTGCAATAATACATTACTTAGTTTGGTGAGTTTTTTTTTTCAAAAATCTTTGTCGTGATTGCACGACTGAAGTGTCCAAAATCCTGCTTTTGTTTCTGTTGTTTAATGTAGCCAAATGTTTCAGGTTTGTCTCATTGCCAGAATTTATCCTGCGAGTATTTATCTTCAATTATGGCTATTGTTATTGCTCAACCCAACAAGTCGGACAGTTTGGACAGTTCTACCTCTGCTCCTTGTAATCCGAGTATGTGCTCAATGAATGTTTTCTTTTATACCTTACGGATATTTCACAATTACCTTCAGTTTTTTGATAGAATCCTGCATAAAGTAATAATGTCATTCTGAAATCTCTTTTTTTTTCAGACGCTCCCTCGTTCTTCAAATATTCGGAGCTCATCGAAGAAGGCGACACCGTCATCATTTACGTAACGTTCGACTCGACTCACGCAATTATTGCAAAACGTGGTCTCACGCTTTGCATGAAATACGGTGCACTTCGACACGAGTTTGTAATTGGAAAGCCGTGAGTAGATTTATATCTACCTGTGTAGAATATGTCGAGAAATGTCATGGTCCGCCTATTGTTGGGACATGCTGCTTTGTGTGATGATGTCAGTTTACAAAGTGAATTTAACATACACGGAAGATCTAATGTGGTCCCTACTACTCGGTTTCTATTTGATTGGGTTATGAAATAGGGCGTGTGGTCATAAATGTGTGGAGTTTTTACCGTGGTGTTCTTTTTTCATCTCTCACGTCGTAAAGTTTGAAATTGTACAAGAGTCCGCTGATTTTCTTTTGTTTCTGCGATTTTTCTGCGATTTGGCGTAATTTAGGGAGTAAATGAGACCAGTCTTCGGAGAAAAATACCTCATTCGATTCTATATCTGGAGTATCGGCGTAAAATAATAGTAATATGTGTGGTAAATAATACACTAGATAGTAAATGCGGTGATATAAGCACTACTAGGCAGTTGCCGAGAAGCAAGAAGTCTTTGAAAGGAATATAATATTATTTGAGTTCTCTTTGCTGAAGTGCAAATTGCGCTTCGCGCGGTAATGAAATTCCTTACATAATCCGCGAATGTGAATAGGGCTGGGTTCTAGACGTCTCAGGAGGTGCAGTGATCGTAGATGATGACTATCAGAGGGAATAGCATAGTTACATCCTGAATAATTTCGAATGGGCGAACTGTCAACTCACTGCCAGTGGCCTATTTGTGGTACTGAGTTAGCCCTAAAACTGCATTGGAGTAAGAGGTGGATCGATTTTCCCAGAACTCCTTTCTGGTCTTGGTTGAACCGTTTATGAAGGTCCATTTGCTGAACTATCCACCGTTGCGTTTCATACAAACACTTTATAGAATTTCGATTAGTTTTTCACCATCAACCCAAATTTCTTGAAACGTAAGAATGACCGCCTAATATATGACAGGAACGATAATTTGGCTAGAAAATGCGCTAATGGGAATGTCCTAGGCTGTAGGTCTATTTGGAATGTAGGTCCGAGAAGGTCTATCTGCCGAACAGATCGTAACAGCCCCAAATGCACCTTGAAGCAGTCTCATATCGACCGCTAGGCGAGGAACTGCCTTTCCGTGAGTCTCTTACATTTCTTACATTCTGGAAGCGGCTTCAACAAGTGAGCTGGCTCGCCCACCCATTGGTAAAGGTTTTCTCAAAAATCGCACCTAAACATGCTCGCGAGGTCCTCGAACCCTTCTGAATAGTGCACTGCTCAAGAGGAGGCTTGCGTAGAAATAGGGTCAGTAGACGACTCCATGTAAGTAATACCCCAAGAAGAAGTGAGGACATACTAACCCAGGAGTTAGGTACGTAGTAGCGGCGTGCAGGGGAGGGAGCGGCGCGGGAACTGCTCCTGCTTGACCCATGGACGTACTCTTCGCTGCAAGAAGCGCACGTCTGTACCCTTAGAGGCTGTCCTGCCTTTCGACTGGGTACATTCCTCTTCTTCGACCCCGTCTTGCCGTGAAATCCTCCATCAAGTCGCCGTTAGTTGAAAAAGCACACCACTTTTCTCGATGCCATTAGCACTCGCAAGCTGTCAGACCACCTCGAAAAAGTTCGGGTGCATGTGCATCATCACTTTATCCACGACTGAGTGATTAAAAATTTGGCTTGCTAAGCACGCCTTCAATTTGCTACAGCACCGGCACATCCCACCAGAGCTTCGCTAGGTCTTCTATTTTTCTTCTTTAGAGAAAACTTGCTGCAGGGTCAACTGTCCGTTGGTGCAAGTGGGAGGGAGGATGGATCGTATTTGGATGTAGATGAAGGATGTGGAGGTCATTTTAAATGGGTTCTTCCTTAAATTATTGGGAAAAATTCAGGAAGAAAGCATAAAGAGGACTACAAATGAGAGGATTGCCTTCCAGACAAGTTTTAGTTCCCCTTCTCGACATCCGTTTCGCAGGAACTAGTGGGCGGAGTGGGACTATGTCGAGTGATCTCAGAATATAAAATACTATGGAAACAGCAATGGGAGGGAGTCGTGTTGGGTGAAACCCACCAAGGTTGGTAGTGGTGGTGGTGCCCCTAGAAAAGGGTGTTGAAAATTTTTGAAAAATTTTGAGTGCTAACGTAGACACTGAGCCCGGAGACACTCCACTACGAGAAATCTGATTGCGGGACTCACTGCGAATCTAACCTCTTTTATTTGACGCAGGCTAGGAATATCTTTCCAGCGCAGCCAGATTCTCAATCTAAGACGTTTAATATATTGTTTTTGAAAGATGCGGCGAGTGTTATGGCGCACTACAATAACCTGTAAATCTGCTGACTTGGAGAGCCGGTTTAGTGTTTTTGATGTTGGTTTTTTCAGGTGGGGATCACGTATTTCGGCTACAGCTGGTTATGTGTATGCTTTGCGCCCAACACCTGAATTATGGACACGTTCGTTACCACGTCGCACGCAGATTCTTTACACGCCGGACTGTAGCCTTATATTGCAGCTCCTGGACGCCCGACCTGGATCGGTGAGCTTTACACTGTCAAACAATTTTTTTGTCTCTATTTGATGTAAATTGTTCTGTGTTCTGTAATGTAAAGACGTAGATTTTAAAAACTAGAATTCACGCGGCGCAGTCTTGTCAGTGCTTTTGGTATCATCGCGCAAAAGCGGTTGTTTGGCACAGATAATTGCCTTCATGGTGTATAAGCCCTACTTGACACTTGCATTCCCGCCATGCGACGCGTCTTCTTCGCTGGGCAACTCGCTCGGATGACTTAGCTCCTACACCTCTGTAACTTTGGAGCGTGCCAACACGAACACTGAGTCGCGGAACTATCGGCATGAACCGTGTGTTCCACGGTTGCGATCGTGGAGAATGTCGTAGCGATCTGCAAAAAGATTAATTCGTAATAGTTCACTTGAGGTCGTCTTACAAAGCTTGGAAGAAGATGTTGGATGTATTCTTTGTAGATCTTTCGAGAAGGTATTTCATATCCTTGCTTCACCGAGTGTGAATAGGTAATTGGTATAAATGCTATAGCAATAGTCGGTGGGATTATTTGCATAATTACTATGAATTTATTAACCTTCTTCGAATACCGACATAAAGAAGTGTTCCTGAATGTCTTCTCGGAAGCTGTTTTTTGATTGTAAAAAGAACTTCACATTAACGCTGAAAGCATCGCCAATGGGAATGTTTGAAATAAATAAAGGGGCTGAAAGAGAAGGGTTTAATCTCCGTTCCGTACGTGCCCTTGCACAGAAACCAGACTGGCAAAATTCTTACCTCCGCGTCAAGTATCCAATTTCAAGTCGAGTAGTGATACTTTGTTCAGCCAAGCCTCTCGGAAGTACAGAGTAGATTAGGGTTCAAGTGTCGCTAGTTGCGCTGACTACCACTAATGTCTATTCTAACTAGAAGAATTTCCTGCATTAGAATTGTTGCCACTGTAGAATTCATACGGGAAGCCGTTACTCTTCACCAGTTCATGCCGTTTTTCTGAAGCTGTTTTCTATTGGATGCAACACACTGTCAGCCTGACTTCTGCTTTTGCGATCGTCACTCAGAAAACACCTTATTCTTGTCCTTAAGATTTCCCTTTTGTTACTCAGACAATTCAAATATTTGTTTTGGAACGCTTGCTAAAATTTTCTTTCTAGGTAATATGTGAGTCCGGCACAGGAAGTGGAAGTCTGAGTCACGCTATTGCGATGGCTGTCGCCCCGACAGGTCATTTATACACCCACGACATTGAAGAAAGCCGCACGAAAAATGTGGAGCAGGAATTCAAGGTTAGCCGTGACTTCATTAAGATAGTTGGCGAAAAAAGTAGTTGCGTTCTATCGCTTTGAAGTAGACTTCTATCTTAAGGATAAGGAATTCGACGAATCGCAAAATTGAGATATCCACCGCATTTACATTTTCGCAAAGCACCAACATTTCAAATATTGGCAAAATCACATTGACACATAACGATACCCATTTTCATTCGTGAAATTTTGGGAACTCAGAAAAATTCTCGTCGAAAACGAAAATTTTTGACTAGTGTGAAGAAGAATTTGACGAAGTTTCATATCAAAGCAGCAACTTCCCCTATCACAGTCTGGGAGGAAAGTTTGCATTTCAGCTTGAAAAGGGAAACAGTGTTCGCTCCAAGTGATTCTTCAGAGATGTTTCAACTTTTCCCGTCAAAAATGATTGTTAGTGGGGTTAAAAAGTTGTTGTGTATTTGTGAAGCATTCCTCCTTTTTCGGACTACAAGAAAGCTAGAGAGCAGTAAGCCAGAACCTAAACTTGTTGGTTGGTTCAAGGGTATTTGCAGTACTGGCCAGAAGACCATCCAGAGCGTTTACGCTTGTTCTATGAAATATACAAATTCCATAATTCCCATACTTTCAATTTTTTTTTTTTTTTTTTTGGTTGAAGTGGGAGGGGGGCGACGGACTTTTGGTGCGTCCGGGGTTGCACGCGGCGAATCGCGCGGCGGGCTGCGCGGCGATCCGGACGAGGCAAGTCTTCGCGGGCTCCTGCAGTGGAATTCAACACGTCAGAACGTGTGCAGATCGCGGATAGAATCCACAAGGTTCTGCTTTGAAAGAAACTTCCCACTCGCGGAGATCGGTGAAATGCAGCGGTGTCAGTGAGAAGATTACAGCGAAAAGGAGATGAAAGAGAGAAACTTCATAGAAATGTCATTATTATCATTCCTACTATACTAACTATAAAGCGCTTCGTCTGTCGTCTGTCGTCTGTGTGTCTGTCACGAAATTCCCTAGCTCCTCGGGATCCGCCTGGAGGGACCGGGTCAAGTGTGGAATGGGTGGGCAAGGTCTCACGAATACAAAACACACATCAGCTAAGCGGAGCCCCGCCCACAGAGGGCGTGGCGTGCGTCGAAATGAATTGTACCGAAGACCAAGATTTCGATTTCAGTGACAAAACGACCTCGAAACTGGGCCAAAAAGTGGGTAAAGGTGTGCATTGGTAAGTCACATCGAATTAGGGAGACCCACCCCCGGTGGGCGGGGCGTTCTCTAAAAAAGCAGTGCTTTATGAAAAATTTCATAACTCGGTTGGGAGAAAGCCTACAGAGCAGAAAACAATTTGGTGTAAGGGAGCAATGTCTAAGGTGTTTCCTGCATACATGACGTGGGCGGAGGCCCGCCCAGAATGGGCGGGGCGCGCTCTGAAGTGTACAGCATTTTCTACAAGCCCTCATAATTCGGGTCGGGGAAGTCTTAAAGAGCCGGAAAAAGGTGGATAGAGGTGTATGGAGGAGTGGAGGCCAGCTGTCAATGGTGGGCGGGGCTTGACCAAAGTGGGCGGAGTTTGCGACGAAAATTCATAACTCGGCTCCAAGAAGTCCCGGAGGCCGGGAAAAAGGTGGATGGAGGTGGGTGGAGGAGTGGAGGCCATCGGCGGGGCCTGACGAAGTGGAGCCAGCTGCAATGTATGGCGGAGCTTGACGAAGTAGGCGGAGTTTGCCACGAGATTTATTGTCCGGAAGCAGTCCGGAGACCGGGAAAAAGGGAATAATGGTTGACGAAGAAAAAGAGGTTGAAAGCCGTCGATGATGGAGCGGATAGAATTTAGCTGAGAATTCAGATATTCGTGGTGTATCAAGCCAAATTTGAAAATTTTCGTCGCACCATCAAAATTCGCCGCAGATCTGTGTTGCGCGCGCAATGCGTGCGGCGCCAACTGGTACTAATAATATGAATAAGAAGGTTTACTATCAACTCTATATCTTTGCTAATCGCGGCGCTCCTGTCCTTGGGGAGAACTTTCAAAACAGGGCCAATGGAAGGTGACACTAGAACTAAGCTCATGAGAAGGGAAATACGCTCGGGAGAACAGAAATTGCTCACATCCTCCACGAAAAAAAACTCTTCCCTCAGGCCTAGTCCCAAACACGATAACTGGTTGAATCTCTTGGCCTGGGATTTCCCTTCCTTCCCTTAACAACAAGCGCCAGCAACCTAAGCGACCTGATTGCTATAACAGCCTTTCGCTATTCCTTTTCTTGTCTTCCTGCCACTGCCTTTGAATATCCTGCGTTAGAATGCAATTCGGATCGTAGAACCTGTGTGGATTTTATCCGCGATCTGCACGCGTTCTGACGTGCTGAATTCCACCGCAGAAGCCTGCGAAGACTTGCCTCGTCCGGATCGCCGCTCAGCCCGCCGCGCGATTCGTTCGCGCGTGTGCAACCCCGGACGCACCAAAAAGTCCCGCACCGGAGGGGGGGGGGGAATTATGGAAATTAGGAAGTTTAGACAAATATTTGCAGTTAGTATCACCCTAGGTGTGGGTCTTGAGACGGCACAACAATGTAATGTTTCTGCCAGCATCTGCTTGATGAAGGATTATGGAATAAAGTTGTTGGGACTGATCAACTCCTTTTGAAATGTCCTTTGTTTCCGATTCTATTCAGCAGCGATTCTGTTCAGCAGCGTAAAAGCAGATGAGGGTCTATCTAGCATAAAAATCGCCTTATTGGAACAAACCGATTTTGATCTCGGTTTTTTTCCGTAGGCAGCCTGTCGTCACTAAGCTAACCCTGTAAGATGGAAGATTCTACAGGTTTGGGCGAAATTTAACCTGCAGGACTTCAATAGACGAGAATGATAATGTCCTCCTTTGCATGCAACGTTTGTGATGATTGGCTTTCCGCCCTGATGTAAATACAATTTATAAACATAGCAAAACTTGATCGAGTTATGTGAAAATTTACCAAAATTATTCTTGTGAATCAATGCTGCATTCGTTAAGGAGCATGGGCTTGCTGATGTCACAACAGCTGTCGTTCTGAACGTATGCACGGATGGTTTCTTTGTGACGAACGCGTGTGATGGTGTCTTTCTCGATGTTCCAGCTCCATGGGAAGCGATTCCCCATGCCGCTGGTGCCATATCACGGACTCGTGGAGGAAGATTGGTGTCATTTAGTCCATGTATTGAGCAGGTGCGTACGAAGACTTGGGTTTGCCTGTAGATTTTGAAGTTTCCTATAACAACGAAAATTTCAAACGTCAGTAGTGAAAGTTAAAAATTGTCATTCGAATAGGAAAAAAAACGCAGACAATTATTCAATTGTTTTTTTTATCTATTCTGCTCCGTCGAAAAGTACCAACATCAAATGATGAAACAATTCAATAGAATTGATATTCGTTGATTCTTGCTCGATTTGTACGTTGGCAAAGCAAGAGGATCAGGAAATCAGTCTTAAAGGCTTACCTCACAATCACTTTTTTCTCGTGGGCCGATGTCAGACTTGGCACCGGCCCTAGAGAAAAAAATGGTAAGACCCCGCTATTCGCTAGTGAATCGAACGATACCCTAGCGAATCGCGGGGTACGAGCGATACACCAGTCATTCGAACTATGCACCAGCGGTTCGAAAGATGTATCACCGAATCAAACGATGTACCAACGACTCGGCAGTGTATAGTGCCAGGAGTCCCTCCGTTCGCACGTTGACTCTCGCCACTTTCTCTGGTTTTTATGCTCTCTCCTTTATATATGCCCACGTGTATGGGAAAGTGGCTAGATTCAGTGTGTAAGCGAGAGTGACTTCTGTCTCTTGCAAACTCTAGCTGTCGCTGGTACATCGTTCAAACCGCTGGTACCGCTGTAGGTCGATTCGCTGGTGCATAGTCGGAAGATCTCGCGTAGCCCGGCTATCGCAGCGAATCGCTAAAATTCGCGAAGCTCGGACCCCAGCCCTTAGACCTGAATGTCATCCTACTGGGACAGATTTCCCACTACAGCATTACTGCTCATCCTGAGTCTCTCATATCACGCTTGCCAGGTGGCGAAGGAGGCCTTCTCTTTAAAAGCGTTCTTTTCCCAGTAGTGATTTCCTTAACGCGAACGCACAACATACTAACTGTTCGACTGATAAATGCTCCGTAATCATCCTTCATAATTATGAAAATGTCTGAGATCGTTCTTCTACATTTATTTGAATTTCCGAAGCTGGCTCAGGAAAATCCCCAAATTACTTTTCAGCAGTGTCTTTGTTCACGGTCGCATCTGCTGTGAGCCCGCTGAGGTAGCAGTCTAGAGGGCGGCTGCGATAACCAACCGCACAAAGGCTACAGATGGCTGCTGTTGTCGGAGCGTCCTTGTAATAGAAGCGTTAGGGGATTGCGTCATTCAATTGAAGAGCACGCTGTGCTGACCTCAGTGGGTACCGTTGACCTCTACTGAGGTGACGCAGCAGTAAGTGCCCTATGACAGTGATCTGGAGTGGTACGGTAACATGAGTTTAACGAATGAATTGGTCTCATACAGTACTGGAAGATTAGAACCATATGATTGGGAGAGATATAGTGGGTGAAGAATAAAGAACTGTCTAGAACCAGTCTAGATTTCAAAATAATTTTTTTGTAGTGTTGGCTTGACTGTTAAACGTCCATAGTTTGTTTTATGGAACGTCAATTGTTTTTAATTGATGTTGATGTTGTAAGGCTCAATTCAGCCGACCACGCTGGTAATTGTTGTTTCAGGTCCAACGAGCTTGTGATATCATGCGGCAGGTGGGATTCGTGCAAGTGGAAACGGTTGAGATTGTTCATAGGACACATAAAGTGAGTTATAGGTCAAGTTAGATGTGCATTCTCGAAATCCACAGTAGAAGCCTTAGTTTCATATGACTGCAGAACTGGTAATTTGCCACGGTTTCACGAAGTTTCTGAGATTGGCTCCCCCACTTTCTTCACGATTTGGGGCGCGGCCGCGGCGAGCGCGGACGAGTCGATAGTGCCCGCGAACTGTGGTGGTGATGCGTTTTCAAATTTACCCACACAGTTCGCGGGCACTATCGACTCGGCCGCGCTCGCCGCGGCCGCGCCCCAAATCGTGAAGAAAGTGGGGGAGCCGGAGTTGGGCGATACCGCTGGAATTTGGCGCTTGGTTTGTTTTTGTCGGCTAAGGATTCCATGAGCTTCAAGAGTTGGTTGCTTGAATTAGGTTTTTCCTTGGTAAAAATCTTGATTTTATGCTCTCAGCGGAGAGCGAAACTTTCTATGGCTTTCTGCTATCAATGGCCGGTCTGCAGGCTTCGTTAGTATTTTTTTACTTTGCCAGCTATAAATCTATTGTTAGTGGTCTACAGTAGTAATTGGTTGATACTATCGTTGCTTACTTAAATGCATTTATGGACCCTGGAGCCGCCATTAGGAATCAGCTCCTCGGCTACAGTTTTTGCCACTCATATTGACGGCGTTGGTGAACCATTTATTAATCGTAGTCATTCGCAAGTGGACACCTAAGGAATCCTTCATGTGAAAGCTTTCTTTGATTCCTTCTAAATCTCGTTGGCTTAACAATAGTTTGGCAAATTGAAGCGTTTCGATACAAATGGCTTCGTTCTCAAAAATTGCGCGCTGAGGTTGTTCCAAACTATACTTTGCTGGGGCGAGCTTTTGTTTAGGGAGTTCTACTCAGCAATGTGTATGGGTATAACTTCCCCTCCTACGAAAATCGAAGGAGGTCAGAGCTCACGACTCGCATCGCAAGTGTAGTGGCTGTCGACAAATTGCTATGCCCTGAGAACAATCTGAAACAAACTTTGTAATTCGTTGCCATGGAAGTTTTGCCAATAATTTCTAATGACCCGCTCTTACTATCGTACAATCTGGAAGATTACTGTATCCGCTTTTGTTCTTGATTAAATTACTCGAAGGAAATTCGCGAATGGCAGTCGTTTGAAAACTAACCAGAAGGAAACACTTAGAATTCCATTTGAAGGCAAGATTCGGGATAAAATAGGTGTGGAAAAGCGTTCAGTTATGAAGCTATAGGTGGGAGGTGGTCTGTAAAAGAGAAGGAAAGCAAACGAAACCACCGATTACGCCCCGTACAGAGACCTCCCCTATTTCAGCCACATTCCACCTTGGGATAGAGAAGAGGCGAATTGGACGAGTTTCACGAACCTAACTCTACTTGCTCCAGTGTCAATAACATTGGATCGCGCTGGGACCACTGCCTCAAATGCGCCCGCGCTTTTCAAGCAGCGCCACGTGGCAACCGACAGCGAAGGGTGGGGCTTGCGGACGAAGGTGTGAGTTGCGGGTTGGACGAGCTCCTTGCGCCTTTGTCGCGTACTTTCAAGCCGCAAAAGGGGCCCGACATCAACACTTGTCCACCTGCCTACTACCCTGGATGGAACAGGCGAGCCCGCCTGATCGCGGAGCGTGCCTTTAATCGGAAGAAACCCGCAGGTGTCGTGAAGGAAATGTGAAAATTGTTATGTTTACGGGCATTTCCCACGAATCTCGTCGGGCAACTTCTTTCTGCGCTGAGCTGACAGCTTCTGCGAGTTTTGAGGAGCACATGCTGTTTGTTTTTTCGCGCGTTTTCTTTTACACATACTTCTTTTAAAGACGTATCAGTAACCTTCTCTAGCAACCGCAACCAATAAAACAGCAATGGTAAGAAGACGGCTTCAAGTCGGTGTATTTCAGGTGGTAGAGCTGGCACGTCAATCTTTGGCTGAGTTTGAGGCATCCGGAGACTCAGCAGTCCTGCAGGGCACTCTCGTTCTGGCAGCGATCGTGGACGAAAGAAAACTGGAGGAGGACACGTCGGAGTAAGTTGGCATTCGCTTTGTTTAGTAAGCACTTTAGTGCCTGCAAGAGCTTAAGAACTGACTTATTGCTGAAACCAGTGTCAAGGATTGATTTTCCCTATGAAGTTACTCTGTGAAATTGACTGTGGAATTCAACTTTACTCTAGGAAACTCGATTTTGGTTATAGATCAGGCACCTATTTTGAGTCGCCAAGGCCCGTTATGTTCGTGATTGATTCTCACGTCACAAGCCAATATCTATAATCACTAAGGATTAGTCCCTACAAGCGCTCATTGATCTATTACCAGATGTTTTACAGATGTCCTGGTGGGAGTCGAAGGCATCGTGCAGGATTTCGCTTTCTCCAAAAGTTTGTGCTGCGACAACCCCCCCCCCCCCCCTCCTTTCACGGGGTAGCGAGGAAAACAATAAGAACGAGAATTAGGATTAATTCTGATAAAAACCCAAAACTAATTGGTTATGAGTAATTTGAGTGCCACCTGTAAAACTGTCACAAATATTGACAGCAGACACTAACACGTGTAAATGTGTGGAATGGTAAAAGCGAGCAAGTTTCAGGGTTACAAGGCTTCTGTCAACCAAAGGGTGAGAGCGTAGCTGGAAAAGCACACACTTTGTGTCTTATTGGGACTAAGCCTTTTGAAGAAGATAAAGAAAGAGGAGATGCTGTGATAGTGTGCACTTGTGAGAGCTCCCAGACATCACTACAAAACGCTGAACCGCCAAGGCTCGCGGTTGACAGATGTCCTGAGACCGTTTCAGGTTAGATCGAATCATACACATCACGTAGTTCTTTACGCGAGCCCCTTCTGCTCGTCCTTGTGCAGCAGCTGTCTGAAGGACGAGCTTTGCGAAAATTAGTCTCGATTGGTCAGGTTTTTTTTTTTGCTCGGAGTTCTGGTCATGGTCTTATATGACAGCACATAACACACGAATGGAAGAAATAGAAATTCACTATGACTCCTTTTGGGTACCTAGGCGCTCACAGTTGACCTTTCATTTGACGCAATTGTTTTTTTTTTTTTTTGAAAAGGCATGAAATCTGCACAATTCAAGCAGCCATCGTGTGATTGCATCTGTCGCTATAACGTTTCAAGGGCTATGGTTATTTCAAGCGTTTGTTGTAAAGAAATGTGACTCAGAAACTGTGAAAACGGTCGGGGATTCGTCGACGTTTTTCGAGGAATTTTGCCTGTTCTGTCATGCCCTCCTGCGTGGGCATTCACTATCGCCACGCGCTGGCCGTCTGTGCTCTCCACGCGTGCACTCACTCTCGAAACTATTCTCATACAGCGCAGAGCCATTATGGGGGATTTTCGCCGACCATTCCTGTTACTTAACCATTGGGCGGAAGTGGTGTAGTGACAAGTGGCGCGCTCACCACGCGAGCGGTCCGGGGATCAAATCCTGGGTCGTGAGTCGCCCGGGCCAACCAAGCCTTCCATCCCTCCGGGGTCGGTTAATTGGTACCAGACTTGTCTGGGAGGATAAAAACACTGACTTGTACATCGGCTGGCCCCCGCAAGTCATTGTATAGGCCACATCGCATTCAAACGCCACTACGAATGTACAAATGGAAGTAGAATGCGTGCCGCATCCCAAAAAGGGATTGATCAACGGCAAATGCTTTATCCTTTATCCTTTTTACTCAACCATCGCGGGGATTTTTTCGACCGTTATTTCTGCCCTGCTCAGGAGTGATCTTCTTTCACGAAGCAAAAATAACTCCCTTACATTGATGTATTTCTTCACTCTAACATAGCTAAACTTTCCTTCCAGAGCTACACCTAATACACGAGCGCTCTTCAGGCATCCGGTTGCCCACGTGCCAGGCCGTTCGACTGCGATTGTCTATCCGTTTAGTCAGCCAACACATACAGGCTATTTGACTCATGCCACCATGTTGCCGAGGGACTAGTAAATGAGTTTTTTTCGTAGATAGTGCATCAGCTGATAGAAATGACACGTTTTGTGTTGTTTATCGTCCTCATTGTTCGATTTACTAGTGTTAATTCAAAGTCTTGCCATCGTCAGCTTTTCTTTAGACAGTGTTTCTCACGTTTTGTTCTGGTTTCGTTCTCGTATGTGCCCGATTTGATAAAGCTGCATTGTTTCAGTAATGATTTCTTCTTGTCGTAATGTCTAGCATAAGAAATGCCAACCAGCAGCTGTGAAGCGCGTGGTTTGTGACGCGATTTTAGTTCAGACGGAATTTGTGACGTCGTTTAGATTTCGAGTTAGTTCTCGTATTACGGTATCTTTATGTTGCAGTTCACTTTTGTTGAGTTTCGTATAAATATTTCTATGGAAGCCGACTTCGACAACATTCGTAAGACTGAGTTTGCTAAGAGGTCCGAAAGAAATAATCGCACCCACGAAATCGTGAGGCCAGTTCGAGGTGGCGTCCACCGTATCCGAGAGTCCGTATACCATTCCCTCCTAGCGAGATTTGGGGAGAAATGGCTACAGTAAATTCCTTTGTTTCCCATTTAGGGTTCCCCCAAAGAGCGGATGGGCAGAGTAGTGCCCTCTATTCCAAAAAACGAGAAGAGCGTCGAGTGCAGACCACACACCACAAGTGACGACGCCAAAAAAATGGCTTTCTTTTCTTTTTTCTTGGCCGTCGTCACTTGTGGTGTGTGGTCTGCACTCGACGCTCTTCTCGTTTCCGTGGCTGCATAAATA